ATCTACTTCAGGGGGACTATATATATATATATACATATATTGTAGCCGCAATTTCCACTCAATTCCTGCAGATGGCTTACCACCAAAGACTTGCAAAAGTGAGGGGCATCGGCGCTGGTATCGGCGCAGCCGCAGGAGGCACCTTGTCTTCATGGCTCGGTACATATTGAGCTTCCCAAAATTGGAGACTTTTTTTTGGAGATCCTGTCAACATTGGGCTGCCGGATGTCATTAGGGCCCATAAAGCAAGAGATCTTTACCTTCAAAATCCAGCAAACAGTTCATGTATATACATATATATATATACATGTTACATGTATATAGGGTGAATGGTATTTCTTTGGCAGGAGCATTAAGAGTTAGAAGGGCGTGGGCTCAGTGGTAGGCTGGATCGAGGAAGAGCCCGCCATCAATTCATAGGATGTAGTTTAGTGGTCGTGGAGCCCTTGTAACTGGATGTTACAGCAGCATTTTGCAAGTATGGAAGAAGGTACCTTTCACGGGCAGTTCCAGTCTGCTGTACAATTTGCGCGAAGAAGTTCACAAGATATTGCTGATCTTTTCACTATTCCTGAAAGACATGGCTATTCATGCAGACATCAAGCTTTGTCAGCTCAGATGTCCGCCTTCGACAGTGCGTGTTATTCGAAACTGGAAAAGGCTCCCAAAAAGCGATCGCTCAGCACGGAGAATACAACTGCTGACAACGTCAGACAGGACATCCTAGTTGGCCGCAGCGTCTATGCAGACTCTGTTGCCGGCGTTGATGCTAACCCTATATAGCTTCAGAGCACAGTTGTGTTGAGAGCCAATACTGTTCACAGATGATGGTCCAGGGCAGCAGTAGTCACCCAGACAGTAACAGAGCTCAGCCAAGCCTATCAACCCGCGTGCGCGCAAGTCACGGCTGCTGATGATCTAGATCCTTGCGTGGTGGCATGCTCACTTGGTACTTTCCCAAAATAAGGGGACCCCAACATAGACCCCAAAATGCTATGGCCCTAATTATGGGGATGCTTTAAAAGGTACTCCTAATTGCGGGAAAGCCCCGCCTAGAGACGCTGAGAGCAGTGAGGTTTGGGCGTCTTCATGCTCTGCAACGCCAAGTGCCCGGGTGGTATCAAGGGCGCAGGGATTCTAGGCGCGGATGGGTGAATCTTACTGTACGGACCGTGCTTCGACCTCTTACAGTAGCGTTTGCAATCACGCTGTTAGGCTCCTGTAGTTGTTTCCATTTTCTTCCCTAAGCCCTAAAACCCATAAACCCTAAACCCTCAACCCTACATAACCCAATTATGGTAGTTTCCATTTCTTTTCCATTATCGCTACATAACCCCTTAAAAAACCCATATCCTATCTACTTAAGGGGGACGATGTGCTCCCTGTCAGGTGGCACGCTGAGCGCATTAAACCCATTGACGCTCCTGTCCAAGAAGGCGCGTGGGCAGACCAGATGCGTTGTGAACCGTTTGTTCCTGGAAGCTGGCAAGTGCGGAATCATGCACGCAAGGATGAAGAGGACGAGAAGGAGGCGTCTGAAGATCCTGACCCACAGAAAAAGATGTTTAAGCAAGTAGACTTCATAGAGTCTTGGCTGCAATGGTCACTTGCAGAGCACTTGGTCGCGTTGCTCCATGCAGTGAGATCGTGATGCCAACGAACCTCACTGACTAGGATTGAAATGCAGTCGTTGTTGTAGTGCTCACCAGCATTACTGAGGAAAAAGAAATCTGCAACATGAATTGCAAAGTTGCTGCCCTGCAGCTTGGCACATTTTGTGCTGTGTGTGAAGCTGCTTCAGAAGAAGATTTACAGCTTTGAGAATTAAATCCTCAGACCCTGTATAGAATCCATAAAACTATTCGGGGGAGGTTCAGTTTCATTTTCCATGTTCGCTTCCGTTTGATCCTCCATCGTTGGAGGTAATATCCCTAAACCCTAGCTGCCGTGATCAAGATAAGTATCGATGGTATTTCTGAATCAGGGTTTCCATTTCTGAGGGCCAAATGCTAAGATGGGTCAACAGTGCTTGAAGCAACCATGTCAGGATTCGCTGAACGTGCAAGTGCGAATGCACCAAAACATTAAAAAAAAAAAAAAAAGCTGTTGTCATTGCTCTCTAACCTTGTGCTCAACCCCCCCTATGTGACTCTATTATCTGACCCTATGCAACCCCACTATATATTCTGTATAGCACTATATATCTGTACACATAGAACATTGAAAAAAACTTACGGAATCGCTTTGAGGATGGGTGCAGCAGCGGGTGCTGCGGCGGGCGGCGCCATCGCAAAGTACAAGACGGCGAGCTGTGGGTTGAACCTTATCACCCTTAAATAGACAGGGACCAAAGGGTTTAGGGTTTAGGTAATTATGTAGGGAGTATATGAGATCGGTTGTATGTAGGGACTAGATAGGGACATGACAATGAGATGATGTAGAATCAAATGGAGGAAGCTGACACTTAAATGGAAACTGGGCTTACATCACTCTGCATTACATGCTCGCTAGCAGATAGTCGTGGCCTCTACTCCAGTCAATTACAGACAGCCCAAGTATCTCTGCAACATTACGCATGTTCCACAGATTGAAATGCCGCTATCTCACTTCAACTTCGTCCAGTTCCAATCCCCGAGCAGAAACAAATGCATCAGTCTTCGTATAGCCCTTGTTGGTTTTTGTCTTTTTCGAGGGCTACAAGGTAGCTCGAGGATCGAGCTACTTGAGAGCGTCTCAAGATGGTGTATGCGGAGCTGCCACCATGGGAAGCATGAAAGTAACCAGGAATTGATGCAGTCGGTCAGGGCTCTTGGGAAGGGCTGAGTTAAACCCGAACGGAGGTTTGAGCTCTACCCCATAAATACGACTGTAATCCCAGTGCCCATTTCACGTTCCATTTTCTTTTGCATGTGATTATCCCTTATTCGCAGTGGGAATCAAGACAAAGTGCTCGACATGCGCTTATTCGTTGTCATTCTGTGTCTGGGAACACATTCCATGCTCCTAGGGCAGTTCGCTGTATCAGTGCTCAGTCCCGGTAGCCCTACATGATTATCATAGCCCAAAACCAGTAAAAAAAGGACGTCCAACAGACCATGATTCTACAGGTTTTTGGGATTCGGGCACGACGGGTACTACTGTTGCTACTATTCCCCTGGGCATTTCAGTATACAAATAATGCCAACACTGGGCCCCATAGTTTGAAAATTTTATTTACATTGGCCTATTTGGATCCCAAGAGTTATACGAAAGATTATTGATGTCAAGACGTTTGAGCTTGGCCAGGGCGGCGGCAAGATGGGCGGGCCACCAGGATGAACTAGGATTAGGGTTTAAGGTTCAGGGTGTAGGGTCTAGCGTTTAGGGTTCAGGGTTTAGGGTTCAGGTTTTAGGGCTCAGCGTTCAGGGTTTAGGGTTTAGGGTTCAAGGTTTAGGGTTTGCCAGCGCAGCGGGCGCCTTGGCCATTTCATGGGTAAGCTGCCTTTGAGGGGAGTGCTTCTTAGACCCAAAAAATAGTTTTCTGTGTTTTGCGTTTTGCGGCTTCGCGGCGACGACAAAAAAACGCTCGACCTGGACATGTTTGTCGTATTTGTGCCTTGTTTTTTGAAAGTATTTTTTGTGTAGAATTTTACGCTTTTGGGCAGCACTTTTGGGCTTCTTGGAGTAACTGTGAAACAAGTTCCGAATCCATTTTGGGATTTGTTTGGAAAAATTAAGTTTTGGGAATCAATTTCGGGTTTGTTGAAGTCAATTGTAAGTGCTTGTAGAAAATCGTGTGTTTTTGCCGAAGCTCTCTGACGCTTTGCGGAGCCATTTTGGGCTTGGATTGAGTTTTTTTGCTTGTTCTAAGCCTTTGAAATCGTTTTTCATTTTTCTGGAAAACAATTTTATGCCATTTTAGCAGCCCGAGAATGACCCTTTTCGGCCCAAAAATGACCATTTTGGGACCCCAAACCACCAAATTGGGCCTCCAGAGCCCAACGGCCTCCTCCGCTACATTTTTGGCAATTTTAGCAGACAAACCTCCAAATTCGGCCTCCAGAGCCCAACAGTTTTTGAAGTCAATTGTAAGTGCTTGTAGAGAATCGTGTGTTTTTGCTGAAGCACTTTGACGCTTTGTGGAGCCATTTTGGGCTTGTCGGAGGCAACCGAGCTTTCTGGAGGCGATTTGGAGCCAGTTTTTCGTGTTGTTGGTACGCTTTTGTTTGGTGCACTTCGCGAATTTAGATGGTTTTTGTTTTTGGTTGCTGGAGCCAAAGCTCGTGCTTTTTGGATGTTTTTCGAGCCAAATCCTAGCTTTTAGGACATTTGGACTTGGTTTGTTTGTTTTTTCAAAGCCTTTTGAAATCGTTTTTCCTTTTCTAGAAGCAGATGTTGAGCGGTTGTGTTTTGCGAAATGAACACTTTATCGCTTGCCTCCTGGAGCCAAATTTCAGTTTTTTGAGGCTTTTGGAGCCACATGTTGGTGCTTTGTGCTTTTCGAGATCACTGTTTTTATCCTTCGGAGCCTTTGTTTTTTTTTGCTTTTCGGAAATCCTTTCTTGTGGGAGAGAATTTGTGGTTGTCGGTGTGTTTTGGAGTCGCATTCCGGTTGTTGGGGCCGCCTGGGGCAATTTTTGGGGGGCCTTTCCAAGAAGCATGATGCAAAGGCTCATTGCTTCAATTGCATGATATGGGACGCGCTAGTGTTATCAAAGCAGTATTGTAGGATGATCTTCCATATATCTTCAGATTTCAGGGAATACCCACTTCGTTTTGCCCAGAAGTTGGTCAGTCTTGATGCGAGCCTCAAACAAACTTGCCGTGGTCAACCTGCTCTTCCGGATCTTCTGCCTGTCGCTATAAGTTCCTTGAATAGCATGGAGTACGGGGTAGATTCAGAACTTTGGCAATGTGCAAGGTTGTCTGAAGTTTTCGTTTACATTCGTGGAGGGAAACACCTCCGCGTGCCCGAAAGCTGGGCCCCGCATATCCCCAAAGCATTCTCCGGCATGTTCTAGGTAAGATAATCTCAGAGTCTTTTGGGTGACCGAATCTCATGCAAGAATACATACTCCTTTTTCAGGTTCATGCTTTGCCCCGAGTACATTATGCAACCCACTTCAGATTCATGGTTCACCCCAAAGTGTGTCTGATTGTATATATACTCCTGCCCATTAAGACTTATCAGGTCTGTGTACTGAGAGCAGGTTGAAGGTCCCAGCTGTTACGGTGAGGAGGGGTGTCTGCAAAGGTATATATTCACGAAAGCTAGCGGAGCTAGGCTTGAGTTTAGTCTTGCTTTAGCAGTAGCGGCTGTCAAGGTCTGGAAAACGACGGATCGTGTGATATATCACAGGATGGGAGGGGGGGGGTGTCGACTGATTCTTTCCCAGCAGCGTAGGTTTGGAGGAGGGGAGGGAGGGCGGGGGGGGGTCGACTGTGATTCTTTAACAGGAATCAAGGTTTGGGGGGGGTCCAATGTGATTCTTTCNNGAGGCTTCGTAGGAATAACGTCATGTGCGGTTGGTAATTGTATAGTAACATCATGCTAGGTTGTTGCATCAAATATGTTTTTCTCAATGCATTGCCCCGACATGCTCATGGTACGAATTACAACTCTATAAGAATCCTTTCCACTTCTTTGATATTCTCTTTCCATTTAATATCTCATGTTGCAACTAAAGCACTGTAAATGTCACTGGTCCTGTTGATGTTGGAGAATCGTAAGCATCAAACCACATATCATGCCTAACTTCTTAGCATTCTTAGTTGATATTAATATCTGTCCATTGCAGTCTGGATTCTTTGTTTTGACTCCTTGACTTACTGATACATGCGAATGCGTAATGTCTACATGTTCTGATGAATTGGCCTGTCCGTCTGTTACTTTGATCTCTGGTGTTGATGATTGTAATTCCATAGTAACATTGATGTCTCCTAACGCATCGCTGTTTCTGATAAATAACTTTTACTGTGCGTCCAATACTTCTTTAAATTCACTGCTGTTCTGAAACATGATGCCTCCCAACTAGTTACATCCGTCTTTCCAACAATATTAACAATACTCTGAAGTGTTTGGTTATAACTGCTCTATTGTTTGTAATTCTGACTGTGTCGTTAAGTTGTAATGCCATTGTTCCTGTGGTGAGGTCGGATGTTCCATCTGTCTGTATATTTCCTGTGTTGGTATTGCATTTTAATTGTTATTAGCGTCTGGTCTTTGGTATAATCTTGCGTTCATGTTTTATGCTTGATCTCTCACTGATGTGAGATTCTAGTTATATCACACGTTACGGCGCTTTCCAGACCTTGAAGGCTACCACTGCTAGAGCCAGACTAAGCCCAAGCCTAGCTCGCTTGATTTTGCTGCTATGGTTGCTGTTGTAGGGTCTGCTTCTTCTTTATTCGATTGAAGACTGAAATTTATTTCATGAGAAATAATGAAATCTACGGATTTGATAGCGTATGTCCGTATCTACAGAATATGCTCCTGTCGGCGTCCACAAACAAGTTCCTGGCTTAAATGTAGGTGCTTGCGTTGTCCCACCTACATATGGTCCAGAAATATGACATATTGGGGTCTGCTCCTGTTCATGCTTTCCA